CATCCTTGCTGATTAAATGTTAACGAATATACACTACTTTTGAACAGTAGTGTATGTTTTCAGGAATTCAATTCAAGGCTAGAAAAATAACATGGATATTCTGGTTGAAATATAACAAGTTCCATTGATTCTAAAATGACTTCGTTCTCAAAGCTCAAATGTCTTACCTTTCTTGTGTGCTTTTACTATTGTGTATAATTCCTACTTTCTTGCTACCTAGCAACCTTGCAAAAATCACACTACCATGTGGATGTCAAAGAGAGCGCTTGTATTGTGAGCTGCGAACGAGCCACATCAGTCCATAAACCTGTTCTTCCTTCCCATGGTTCATACAATCACTTCAACACGTGCCACAGCTTCATGTTCGTTCGCAGTCTGCAGTGTTCACTAGGTAGGAAGTTCTGTGCCATCTGTAGTTTCAGTCTAATCATAACTGCAAATCAGATAGCCCTATGGGTAGCATCGCCTGTCACCAGAAGCAGGGTAACCATGGATACGGTCCCTGTGGACAAGTAGGCCCCTATACCATGTCTTTCAAAAGCATTCCCTGATTCACTCAAACATTCGGATTTCGCTTGTTTTCTTAATCAGATAAGGACAGAGATGAATTGGCACACAAAAAGGCTTCCCCTTGGGTGTTTCGAGAGCTCAGCATGTGTGAACCACAGTGTGTGTAGACCTGAACCCTGTCCAATTATGTGTCACTGAACACCTACTCACTAAACAATGGCCATTACACAATTATTTCAGCTGTACAAACACGCTCCAATGCACATCTACACGAAACAACTGAGCAACTTCTCGTTTGTGCCGCACCTTGTAGTGTTTATCTGAACTTTGAGTGAGGGTTCGCCGATCTATTTGCAGATTTACAACAATGTGTTTTAAGCATACAAAATGAAGAGATGAGAAGGTATTGACAACTCTATTTATTGGCAAGCAACACAGTCCATTCCCTCTCTTAGAGGTGATTAGGAACAGCTTAGAGCTTAACAAATAAAGAGGAGTAGTCAAATGTAAAATAACACTGCAAAGTCTTCACTGAGTAAATTAAATATAGATTAATCCTACTAAATCTACTAAAGAGCAGTGAGGGATTTGCTCTGTGTTTTTGTTGTTTAATTAACATTAATGAAACAGACAAAAGCAGGAATATTAGGCTGCTGTCACTTTAAGACAGAATACACAGATCTAATTTACTGATACACATGCAACATATTTGCCCTCTGTTTATGTTCACTTTAGACAGAACCGATGGTATTGAAGTGTATACTGACCTAGCCGGTTAATTTTTATTTTTTAACCATTTAGGCGCAAACCCGAAGATTAAAGTTCACTTTACTAGTTCGTCTCGGAGCGCACGCACAGGAAGTCGATTGAGGAAGAGTATTACTTTTGCCGCTTAATGCCGTATTAATAACTCTTTTTATTATCGTTTAGCAACAGACTTTATTTGACATTCACTGATCTAGCTGATTGGACATCAAGTTTTGGCTTTTATTGAGAAAATAAAGTGCACCACTGTGAAGGAAAGAAATGCACTAAAATATCACAGACAGACTTTCTGTCATTGCTGTGTGTTTCTATCAGTCAAATCACTCCGCTCTCCGCAAAGAAGTTGAAAATGTATTGTCCTTTTCAGACACCTGAACTGCAAGACCTATGGAGGCTTGTTTCTGCCACTGAACAAAAAACAAAAGAATTGCGACTTTTTATCTCACAATTGTGAGATATGAAGTCAGAATTGTAAGATATAAAGTCGCAATTCTGGGAAATAAAGTCGCAATTGCGAGATATGAAGTCGCAATTCTGAGAAATAAAGTCACAATTGCGAGATATGAAGTTGCAATTCTGAGAAAAAGTCGCAATTGCGAAATATAAAGGCACAATTCTGAGAAATAAAGTCGCAATTGCGAAATATAAAGTCACAATTTTGAGAAATAAAGTCGCAATTGCGAGATATAAAGTTGCAATTCTGAGAAATAAAGTCGCAATTGCGAGATATAAAGTCACAATTTTGAGAAATAAAGTCGCAATTATGATATATGAAGTCGCAATTCTGAGAAATAGTCGCAATTGCGAAATATAAATTCGCAATTTTGAGAAATAAAGTCGTAATTTTGAGAAGTAAAGTCGCAATTGCGAAATATAAAGTCACAATTCTGAGAAATAAAGTCGCAATTGCGAGATATAAAGACACAATTCTGAGAAAAAAGACAGAATCGAGACTTTTTATCTCACAATTCTGATTTTTTCTCTCACAATCGCGAGTTTACATCTTGTTGAGGGTGGGTGTCAGGGTGATGCTATGCAGTTGCTAAGGTGTTCTGGGCCGTTGCTAGGTGATTTCTTACTGGTCCAAAGAGCCCATCTCAAAGAATGATAATTGCTAATTAAAGTATGGTTCCTCATGCAATTATTAATTTAAAAGTAAAAATGTTCAAATGAACAAATAATAATACAAATGTTTTGTTTTTAATTTGTTCAAAAACAGATAAATGTAAAAGTAAATATAATCATTTAATAAATAGATAGACTTTTAAAAAGCTTTTCATTGTAGTTTTTTTTTATCAATTACAAAGTCACATATTTTAACTTAATTTGAACAAAAAATAAATTGGCAAATGGTTAAAATAAAATAAAAACTTGGTGAAACATTTTCACATTTGTATTAATTGATACATCTATATGTTGGCAATTAATTATTTATTTACATTTTAATTTTTGAATGAATACACTCAAAATTAATTGAGTCTTATATTTTTAAGAGGCACTTAAAATTGTAAGTCCAATCGTAGTCTAATCACTCTAACAGAAAAATAAAAGCACACCTCTACTTAACAAGCTGCATGGCATCAGATAATGTATTAAACAAATACATGTTAACGACTGACCAAAAAATAGTACTGAAATTTGCCCACTAAATATAAAAAAGCTTCTGAATAAGCAGTGCATATATCTGATATGTAAACTAAGCTATACAATTTTGTGTTTTATACGCTTATCCTCTGATGCCGCAATTCATTAGCGTGTAAATGACTGTCATATTACATTAATCACTTCATGTCACTTTGATACATCTTGACATGTTTACAGTCAGTTTACTTTTAGAAGATGAATGTCTCCAATATCCCAAATTTCTGATTAGAAAAACAGAAGCTAGGGAGAGAGAAAGAAAATATATGGGGGATAACTGCTTCTATGTTTGCCCAGAGCTAGTGGCTTAATCTAATGTCACAGAGTCACACAGTTGTTTATTGATCATAAAAAGGGAGTATTATTCTAAGCCACAAGCAACTACATTCAACTACACACACACACACACCACTAAATGTTAGTCTGACTGCTTGAACACTCTTTTGCTGTGCAGAAGTGCATCAAGTTAGTGGAATCTAAAGCAATAAGCCATTTCCTTTGAAGTTTATGAATAGTTTGACATGCAGGTTAAGTGTTTTGGGGCGCCTGACTGAGCCAGAGTCTTGTTCTCATGACTACTACACTCATAAAACAGTTTATTGTGACTCAAACATGGTGCATCAGTAAAGCTGTCTCAAACATTCACAACAAATATTTCAGATGATATATTTAGCATGCATTATAAAATAATTCCGCCTCACACTATTTTTTATATTCATCCTGAAATGTATCAAGCATTTGTCAAATGTCCAGTATATCAAGTACAGACATTTATAGTATACATCTCTATGGATTGAATTGTGGGTGTCCTAGACAGCTGCAGTGGCCCCAAAATACTGAAAAATGTTTGTCATCATCAGCTTGGCCCATTTAAGCAATAGGTAGTGCACTGGCAATATAAGGTACAATCTGTAGAGCAAGACTAGTCACATCACAGCGTATCCATCACATAATCACAGCAGATCTACAGGATCACGCAATCCGCCCGCTTCTAGAAAATTAATTTGTTCTACTTTTACAATGTAACTCTCTCGTATAGCTAAATGCATGCATCTCCTCACAAACATGGGGATGGACTTGATGATTTACAGGTCATGTTAGTAAAAAATGCACCCGGGTAACATTTAAATTGTTTTGGTTTTTTTTTTCATTTTCTATACCATAATTTAGTTTAATCAAAGTTTTATTTAACCTTTATTTTACCAGGAAAGTCCCATTGAGAAAATATAGTGAAAATCCAATTTATCATCATTAATTAAAAAGAAAACAGCACCAGTATTATCTAATGTATGATGATATATTGTACTGAGCTTTAATCATGTTGGGGATTATATGTTAGGCTGGCATATTTTTAGTCCCCGGCACAACACACTCTCTTTGGACTCGTAACAAATTTTCCAAAACACTTGGAATTTGGAATTGGATTTTTATCAAACATACTGTATCACAGGATTTTTTTTTTAGTATTGTCTTAAAAAGAGGCACTGGCAATGTATACTCCTTATCTAAAACACCATTCAGCAACTGTATGTTGTTCTCTCTTTAACATTCGTTGGATTTAGGTCACGCTGTAATTAAAAAAGCAGTCTATTTTAGGGATTTTCCTTGCAGAGGGTCTCATAAGCTAATAAGGTGGATAGATGTAAAAGTAAACTCTTCTCTTTGGAGTGTGTGTGCGTGTTTGTGTTATCAGGATGAGCTAAGCTGTTAGACGCTAATTGGCCTCGGAAAGCAAGCAGGAGTGTCTATGTGATTGATCTGCGCTAACTTTAGCTCTCTGTAGGTGAAAAACATGGCGTCAGCTAAACAACTTTTTAAAAATAGCTCTAAAAATGTCACTAGACAACTCTCTGCACTCCGTATTGCCATTAATAGTTGGAAATTGAGGTAGACCGGAAGTAGTGGGTGTTCATTTAGATAGGCATTAAGTTTGGGTAAGTGGGTTATTTTATGATGCGCTAAGCAAAATATTCACATTTATATGATTTCTTTGTCTTGTTACTCTCACTGAAGGAGTATTGTAAGGACTTGACCTAGTTTTTTTCAAATATCAATAATCATGTTCTTTCTTCCTATTTCTGCAGGACACAAAACGAAAATCTGGTCATGAGCGGGGAATCTGATGAGAAATGAGGTCCTCAGAAAACACAAGCACTTCCTGTCCTGTGGGAGGCTATGCATGGAAATGCTCAGATACGCTATCTGAAAAGCTAATGAACATAATAAACAAGACTCTGGTCATAAATGAAGCTTCCTTTCCAGTGTGACAAGACACCAAGCATACACTGAAAGGATAAAAACAATACTTGTTTTTTTCCCTAAAGCTGATATTCCTAACAGCACTGAACAATCATCCATGTGATTTCAACACGTCCAATTACAAATCAAAGACTTGTTGAATATCTTTCTGAATACTGCTAAAGATCATAACCTGTGTAAACAAAACAACAAAAACGTCTGGAGCTATGACTGAAGCACAGATGTCCATTTCGTCTGGGTCCAGTGGACATGGAGGAGGTATGGTGACCAGTGCCTTACTTTGCTGGGCTATGGCTCTCGTGTTCCTCTCATTGACAAGGGTGCCTGTTGTCCAAGGTGATTGCTGGCTGATTGAAGGGGAAAAGGGATTTGTGTGGTTGGCAATTTGCAGCCAGAACCAGCCACCATACGAAAATATCCCCTTGCACATTAACAGCACAATTGTTGACCTGCGACTCAATGAGAACAAGATTCGAAGCATCCACTACTCTTCCTTAAGTCGTTTCGGCAATCTCACATACCTGAATCTGACTAAGAATGACATATCTTACATTGAAGATGGAGCTTTCTCAGCCCAATTTAATCTCCAAGTGTTGCAAATTGGCTTTAACAAGCTAAGGAACTTGACCGAGGGAATGCTAAGAGGTTTGGGACGCTTACAGTACCTCTATCTTCAGGCTAACCTGATCGAGACCGTCACAGCCAATGCCTTCTGGGAGTGCCCTGCGATTGAAAACATCGACCTTTCCATGAACAGAATTCAGCAGCTTGATGGTGCTACATTTCGTGGTCTATCGAAGCTTACGACTTGCGAGCTCTATGCAAACCCGTTCAGTTGCTCGTGTGAGCTGTTGGGATTCCTGCGCTGGCTTGTTGCGTTCCCAAACCGGACAAGTGAGCGGATGGTGTGCGACACACCCGCTGGCTTTTCCGGCTACAGTCTCTTGAGCCAGAACCCCAGAATGCCAAGATTTCGCAATGCCTTTCATGCACTTTCCTCTGTCTGCACCGATGACAATGTGACACCGTACCTTCACGGCTCTTCGGACGGGAGCACTCCCACGATGTTGCCTGATTTGAGCCCTTGCGGACTGGATGACTGTTCCTCAGGGACATTTCCAGAAGAGTCCATAAGCATCAGTCCCACCTTTCTGGATCCAGATGCCCGTCCCATAATGAAACTAAAAGAAGTTACCCAAACAAGTGCAATAATCATGATCCAGATTCCAAATCCATTTCGCAAAATGTACATCCTTGTCCTGTACAACAACAGCTTCTTCACGGACATCCAAAACCTGAAAAGCCAGCGAGAAGAAATAGAATTACAGAACCTCAAATCTCACACTAACTACACGTATTGTGTGGCGTCTATCCGCAACTCCTTGAGATTCAACCACACCTGCCTGACCATCTCCACAGGGCCAAGGACATTGCAAGAACGCGTGGCAAATGACTCAACTGCCACTCATTACATCATGACCATCCTCGGTTGTCTCTTTGGGATGCTCATTGTACTGGGTGTAGTGTTTCATTGCCTGAGAAAGCGCAAACATCAAGACGAGCCCAAGAGTAAGAAGCTGGAAAAGATGAAAAGAAACTTAATTGAGATGAAATATGGAACTGAACTGGAACAAGGGACTATATCACAGCTGTCACAAAAGCAAATTCTGTCCACTGGCGAAACGGTACAAAGGATGCCATACTTGCCAGCAGCCAGTGACACAGATCAGTATAAGATGCAAGAGATCTCTGGGACACCAAAGACTACAAAAGGGAATTACATGGAAGTGAGATCAGAGCAACCAGAACGCAGTGTGAGGGAATGCAGCATTCCTCCATCGGAAACCAGCCAGGGATCTGTCGCGGAGATATCCACCATTGCAAAAGAAGTGGACAAAGTGAACCAGATCATCAACAACTGCATCGATGCACTCAAATCCGATTCGACGTCATTCCAGGCCGCAAAATCCGGTGCCGTGTCCACAGCGGAGCCGCAGTTAGTCCTCATATCAGACCATCCACCAGGCAAGTCTGGTTTTCTGTCCCCAGTGTACAAAGGATCGTACCATCATCCCCTGCAGAGGCACCACAGTATGGATGCCCCACCAAAGCGCGCAAGCACGTCCTCGAGTGGTTCCTTGCGCAGTCCGCGCTCTTTCCGTTCTGAAGGAGCTTACAGATCAGAGTCCAAATATATTGAGAAGGCCTCTGCGCTCGATGAATCAGGCATCATAACAGTCACGCCAGCGGCTGCGATCCTGAGGGCAGAGGCGGAGCGGATTCGACAGTACAGTGAGCATAGGCACTCCTACCCCGGTCCCCACCACATAGAGGAGTCGATAGAGGTGTCAGGGAGCCGGAAGTCATCCATTCTTGAGCCGCTGACGCGCTCGAGACCTCGGGAGCTGTCCTATTCGCAGCTCTCACCACAGTACCACAACCTAAGTGGCTATTCCAGTCCTGAGTACAGCTGTAGGCCTTCTTTTAACCTGTGGGAACGTTTTAAACTCCACCGCAAACGTCACAAGGATGAGGAGGAGTACATTGCAGCAGGTCACGCATTAAGGAGGAAAGTACAGTTTGCCAAAGATGAGGACCTACATGACATTCTGGACTACTGGAAAGGGGTCTCTGCTCAGCAGAAATCATGATTGCTGTTTTTATAGCTCATCCAATTAAAGAAGACTACACCAATCTCTGGACCAAACCAGCCAGTATCAATGATTAAGTGACAAGCAAGCACTCACTTTTAGAGAAATAGCTTAGAAGTATTGCTAGCTCTTTTCAATCATTCTGTTTGAGAATGAAAACTAAATACAAGATACTGTAGATCTTGCAGTGAGTGTACGTGCCAAGTGGTAAGAATAGAAAACTTTTAACAGTATTAACCTCAACTCAACATTTGATTTTTATATATTGGGAATAACAATAAACTACTATTATATGATCATCGTCATCATCATCATGACCATCATTGATTAGTAGTATTACAGTTAAGATTGATTCTTCTTATTATTACAATTAATCTTTGGTTATCGCATGGCCGTGTCCTGTGACAGTATTGACTGTTGTGTACTTGGAAAAACATACAACTCAAAATGTCTGCCGAACACTGTTCTCCCCAACGTTAGGTTTTTATACAGACTGTGCAACTTTGAAAACGCTCTTTTTTTCTTCTTCTTTAGCGACTGTTCAAAGGACAACCGCTGAATTTGCTACAGAAGCACACCTCGACTGGATTTTAAAACAACGACTTTTCAGAAAAAAAAAGCTTCTCTCACTGCTTTCTCCATTCATTTTTTGTAAAGTTTACAATTTCAAACATACAATGAATGTTTCAAGTCCTTAAGACTTACACCTGCAACGTGATTACAATTACATACAGACACAGCTGTGCAGGTAAAACTGTCTTTCTATGGTTGTATTTCATTAACAGACGTTCAAGCAGTGCTACTGAGGAAACTGAACCCACAAACTCCACACAAGTCCTGCATATTGGAGAATGAATGTACTCTGTTGTAAAACTATTACAATATTTGGGGCCTAGTTCTGCCTCAAACCTAGTTTGATTCTAGTTTGCAAGACCTTCAGAAATATTTCCTATTTAGATATTGCTACAACATGCCTACTTTAAACCACTGTGAACCCCAAGAGCTAAATCAGTCCTGGTGGGTTTTTATCTTCTTCTTCTTTTCACTGAGATTCAACAGAGCTATGTCTTCTACAGCTGTTAATCCAGGTCTAAAGTGCTGATCTAGGCAGCCCTAATAGCATAATCTTTTCTCACCGCCATTAATGCTGATAGACAATTTAGATTCCACTGATTTGAACAATGGAATTGGCCTCTAAATTTTGAGGAAGCAAATCTTAAGACCTGTACTGTGAAACCAGACATTACAACACCCTGCTTCGTGGAGTGAAATAACATGACATTTAAATTATATCTGAATCAAAGTGCATGTCAAATACTTGACAGAAATGCTGTCAACCAAATATTAAGGCCTAGAGTGCAGTGCACAGTGTTGTTTTTTAGCCTTCGTATCCCCTATCCCAAAACACGAGTGGATCGTTTTAGAATTTTTCCTGGTCGAGGTAATATGTTAAACAATGCCATTCTGCCGACTGATTTTGTGAATGAAAATGCCATTGTCAGAATGATTGTTGTCATACTGAGCATAATTATTGCTTATTGTTCTGAAATTGGAAATGGTTTCTCTACGGCAGCTTGATCCTGAACATGCACTGTCATCTTGTACCTAACATGAAGATTGTTTCTGTTTTGTTTTACAATTAAGTTTAAAACGTTTAGCCAATTCCAGGTAATTCCTGTGAGAGCTAAATGAATGTCTACAAGAAAGGACTAATGCATGATAATAGGGACAGCATAATTATTTAATCAAAATGTCTGTATAATTAATGGAATCATCAAGGTCCTCTTTAAACAACCAGAAGATTTCTCGGATCTTTCCCTTAATTTGTGCGTGAATAAATCTTAAATATTTGATTATCATACTCAAATCTTTGAAAACATGTCCCCAGTGCAAATCCATACTTATTCAGGCTCATTCAACTTACATTCACTGTATCTCATTAACAGGTTTGTTGAGTTGATTTTCATCTCCTTATACTGCAAACTGTAGCACTCCAGATTTTCCATGGACACTGAAAGTAAGTTGAAAATGACTTGGTGAATGTACAGCAGCCTGAAAACAGCCATATGTATGGGCTGATTGTAAGAGAAAAAGAATGGATTTCAAAGGGCTTTCATGTCTGGTGGAAATGTCAAAGAGCACAATAAAAATGGTTTTATTTCTTAAAGAATAAATACTTTTTTCACGGACACATATTGTGCTTAAGACTTAGCTTAAGTTAAGTCTCCTGTTGTGTTTTTGTGAGAACACACTGAGGTAGGCTGAAATGCAACTGCATGTCCTATTGTTTGGGTCTGAGGGACTTATACCATACTAGACAGCAGCCAACATCTCACAATGCAGTCCAAAAGTTTGAATCTGGGATGTCAAGATTAAACCTGGAAATCAAAAACTGTACAAATGTTAGGACATAAAATGAATCAGATACATTTAAGATTCTGCACTTTACTAGCCTGGGAAAACCCAGACAACTTCCGGCAAATTTAGATTTGCTCTGAAAGTTTGTCTGGCAAAGAGCTCATTCATATGGAAGCTTGTTTCCGCCACAGAATGAAAAATAAAAAAGGTAATTGTGACTTTTTATCTCACAATTCTGACTTTTTTCTCACAATTGCGAGATATGAAGTAAGAATTCCGTGATATAAAATTTAGAATTGCGAGATATACAGTCAGAATTGCAAGATATAAAGTCGCAATTGTGTGTTGTAAAATCAGAATTGCGAGATATTAGGTCAGAATTACGTGTTATAAAGTCAGAATTGCGAGTTATAAAGTCAGAATTGCGTGATATAAAGTCAGAATTTCGTGTTATAAAGTCAGAATTGCGAGATATAAAGTCAGAATTGCGTGTTATAAAGTCAGAATTGCGAGATATAAAGTCAGAATTTCGTGTTATAAAGTCAGAATTGCGAGATATAAAGTCGCAGAACGTGTTATAAAGTCAGAATTGCAAGATATTAAGTAGGAATTGCAAGATATAAATTCGCAATTGCGTGTTGTAAAGTCAGAATTGCAAGATATTAAGTCAGAATTACGTGTTATAAAGTCCGAATTGGAGTGGGCTTTACACGATGACGACCGTTGGGATTTTGAAGGCTAAATTACAAAGATGGATGCCGCCGTCGAACATCGCTCGTTCAAATCAGCTATCGCATTTGTTTTAAGCGATTTGAACGTTTCCTTTTTGTTAGAATCTGACCAAAGAACAACACTTGTAGATGTTTCTCCGCTGGCCGCCGCTCTGCATACAGTACGTCATCTCCTTCATCGCTCTGATTGGATGTCTACACGTGACGTCCGTTGGCAATGCCCCTCTGGAAATGATTTGTCTATGATGCTTTGCACAACCATAACTCAGTTACAATTGAGAATGGTCTGGTTTTAACCAGGCTACTTAACAGTACTAAACTTAAATTATGAAATCCTTGATCCTGAAGGTCTGATGTACTTCCAATAAGGCACACAATGGGACCTTCTCAAATCTTGATGGAGAACGCAATCATCAGATTATTATTATTATTATTGCGTTTTGGTCAAATTGCTGGTGATATCATCATTCAAATAAAACATTTGAATACAAAAAATATGTATAAATATATAGGCATTTTTACTAGTAGTCCCAAACGTTTGAGCCTCGCTGTCCATTGTGTTTAATGTGAAAATGCAGAAATCTTTATAACAATACAGCAGAAGCAAAGCTACCTAAAACCTAAATGAAGTTGCCCTACTGATGTAAATTAACAATCCAAAAAGTTGCTATGATTATAAAATGCATCACCCATTCTATATTTTTTTGCTCACCAAAATATTCTACACTTGTGTAGACAGATGTGCAAAAAACTGTAAGAGGGTTCAACAGCTTATCATTGCGAAAGTGCCCTCAAAGATGCCCCCTTTAGCATAAAGTATACACTATGTACTGTATTTGTGCACACTTTATGCACAAGAACACCAAGGTGTGGGCATTTACTGTTATGATAATCACATTTGTCAGTGTGACAATAAAACCATTTGGGTGATTGCCATTAGTTTACATTTGGTGGTCAATCCAGTGAGATCCAGTATCTTTGATAGGATCAAGTCTCAAAAAAACATCACATTTTGGAAATGTAGTTATCCATAAATTTAGCTTTGAAATAAAATGTACATGTAGAAAAAGTCTCTCAAAGTAACATGATGAAAGGATGTGAAACACATCTCAGCATCACTGCTCTATTAAGCACTAGTAGGTGACCGACTGCACCTGTCACTCAGAACAGGTAGTGTCAACCCTGCGCTCACCTCCTCTATCACAGCCTGTGACGGAGCGTTTTTAACACACCTGTGACAATGTCATGTGTGAAAAGCATAGCAGCTCTTCTAGTGCACCGTAAGCCACTACTCTATTCCATTTAAAGCCCATAAGCATCTGTTCTTTTACTTTAAATCGCACATTATAAAAAGCTTTTTTTTATGCATCTCTTTCGCTATGTTGTGAATCAATATATCATGAAATACAATTAAGAGACTTGGGATGCTGATTTCGACAAGCCAGCCTCTAGAACTGTCTGACTCCCTGGGAAGTGACTAACTAGGAAGCAGATTGAGACGCACTCCATTAATTTATGTTGGTGTTTTCACCAAACAGAATATTGGACTTAAAAAAAGTTAGAAACTTAAAGTGCACTATATGCAAATTATGATGTGCTATCATGATAACAATACACTGTAAATGCATTTTTGCTTAACTGTATTCTGATTCGCAGAGTTCCAATGCAGTGTTCAATGCTTCACGGTTAGCTGGTGATTCAATTCATTCGGTGACCTGCAATGTCATCAAACACAGATCAGAGTTTTTCAGTATGATGAAACACTTATTTACATATACAAAAATAATATGAATTAATATAATCCATATATGCCAACTAGCAGTTCAAAAGTTTGTGGTAGTGTCGTGTGCAAAAGTAGAGTAAAACTGTAATATTGTGAAAGAACTGACAATTTGAATATATTTTTAAATGTAGCTTATTCATTTACATTTAGCTGACGCTTTTATCCAAAGCGACTTACAATTGCTATATATGTCAGAGGTCGCACACTTCTCTCTGGAGCAATTAGGGGTTAAGTGTCTTGCTCAGGGACACATTAGTTTCTCAAAGTGGATTCGAACACGGGTCTCTCACACCAAAGGCATGTGTCGTATCCACCAACACGTGATGGCAAAGCTTTAATGATATTTTGATGTTTGTTCAGCTTATAGTACCTCTCCCTATATCTATCTCACAAATACTCTGTGAGGTTCACAGAAGGTTAGGTGATCAGAACACACCCATTTATTTTCACAGGTATTCACCATTCTAAACAAAAGATAGTAGTGGACTTGCACTCAGTATCATTTACACATTCAGTGTAAATGCAGAATCATGCTTGGCTTTGCCCTTCCACAACTCTGAAAACACTCTAAAAATGCTGGGTTGTTTTAACCCAATTTTGGGTAAAATATGGACAAACCCAGCCATTGGGTTAACTGCATCAATTTTAAATATCTAGTGAAAGCAATATTCATTTTGTTGAACTGCTTGGTGTACGTTTGATCAATTATCTCATAATTATACTGTAGATTGTATCCATTGAATCAAATCAGGCTGTTGAGGTCTGAAAGAGCAAAATAATGTACATCCCTATATGTTCACAAAGCCTCCAAGTCAGTACTGATAAAGATGTCTTTTCAACAATACGCAGTGAGAGACAGTGACCTTTTGCCACTCGTTACTGGCTACAGTAGGAGCTCACATCATGGGGTTCAGTGAGATTCATTCCGGTAATCACCACCTAATTAGTCTTTAAAATGCCTGTGCTCACCATTAGCACATACTTTCAGGAAAACCACGAGAGTCCCAAGGAAGGTTTGCTTAATCTGTGTGGGAAACAGTGACCTTAAACTATGTACTATCAATTTATTCTTGTAGTTAATTGTACTATGCTCTCTTTCTACACATCAGTTTGGTGTTAGTCCATTTACATATTGTTATTTCGGTTAAGGTTTTAATTAAATTACAAACCAAAAATATATATAAAATTGAGCAGTCTCACTTATCTATTCAGCATAACTGATGGACGAAGGCACTTATTTGTGCATATTATTTATATACGCAACTACAGTGTATCCTGTCGCTTGGTAATGCATATACAAATGACTGAGATTACCCTAAAAATTTATTCACCCCCATGTCATCCAAGATATCCATGTCATTCTTTCTTCAGTCGAAAAGAAATTAAGGTTTTTGATGAAAACATTCTCCATATAATGGACTTCAATGGAAACCAAATGGTTCAAGGTCCAAAAGAAAGTTTCAGTGCAAATTGTTCAAAGGGCTTTAAACGATTCCAGACGATGAATAAGGGTCTTATCAAGCGAAACGAGGGCTCATTAAAAAAAATAATAACAAAGTTTAAGTTTTATGAGCTCAAATGGTCGCCTTGCTCTGTTCTGTGACGCACGTTCGTGACTCTCCTGTTCAAACTCGTTTATCAAAATGAATCTTTTTTCGTGTCATTTGGTTCATTCAATGAATGAAATGAACGAGTTGACTCAGGAAAAGATTCGTTCATTCGGACCTTGAACCGTTTGGTTCCCATTGAAGTCCATTATATGGAGAAAAATCCTTAATTTCTTTTCGACTGAAGAAAGAATGACATGGATATCTTGGATGACATGGGGGTGAGTAAATTAAAAGTGAACTACTTCTTTAATCTATGCATGTGCCCTCAGTTTATGCAAACCCCATTTCTATTTTTAACACACTGCACAACTATTTTTCCGGTCCAATTAAGTATCAAATACTATATGTGCAAATTTATCGTGAAGTATTTTAGTCCTTCTGTATAAAACAAATCTAACCGTTACATCAAAAGCAGTGTGTAATGTCCTTGCTCTTTTAATAAGAGGTCAAATTTAGTCATAATAATCAAGTAAATAAAAGAAATTAAAAACAACACAGGGATCTTAATTTGGGGTAAGGTGAGGAGAACCACTGAGCCAATGCCTCTAAAATGATTCAAACATTTAATAATATATTGGCTGATTCCACACCATTTATTTACTTGGAAACTTTAAGTATCACTGAGCTAATGAGGGTTTATCTAAAGGCCAAGATCTGAGAAGAGTTCATGATGAAGTCTAGCAGACGGACTCTTGTGAGGGAGGCAGGAGGGGCATCATGTCTCCCTGAATTACAATAACTGAATTACACTGATGCAAATCCAGTCAATCTTTCTCACTCAGACATGAACACACACACTAACAAACACACGGCGGTTAGAGTGACAGTCAGGCTAATTAGCTAGGTTTTAATTTGCTAGAGGTTGATCAGTGTCATGATCTCATGCCAAATTATAGAATGCATGAGTGCAAGAAAATAAAAATAAGGGGGAAAGCAAGAAAACTAGAATAAAACAACCAAGAGTCAGTTTTAGATGCAAGAGGAGGTCTGACACTTTAAAAGCTTGT